AAAAAAAAAAAAAAAAATTTTGTTTACTTATTTACTTAACAACCCCAAAACTCAGTAACTTAAAACAGCCACCACTTTATTTGCTCATGATTCTGGGAGTCAGCAATTCAGGCTGGTTTTGGCTGGGATCACTCGTGTAGTTGGGGTCATCTAAGTGCTCACTTGAGCGCGGAAGGTCTAGGATGGCTTCCAGAACATCTCCAGCAGGCTAACTCAGGCTTCTTCTCAGGCAGCAGACTCTTCAGGCCTATGCTCAGAAGTTGCATGGCATCCCTTCTACCAGATTTTATAGGTCAAAACAAATCATAAGGTCAGCCCAGATTCAAGAGGTGAGAAATAGACTCCATCCCTAGATAAGAAAAGCAGCAAAGTCCCATTGTACTGGGACAGGATGGGAGGAATTATTGTGGTCAGCAAGTACACAACAAATAAGGTGTGGCATGAGAGAATAGGGCAGAATGAAAGGATTTAGGACCAGTTAGAGACATAGAAATCAGTTTCCAGGCTATTGCCATTGTTCAGTGAGAAACGATAAGGACTGACCTAAGGCAGAAACAGCAGGAAGGAAAGGGAGATACAAAAGAGATATTTCAAGAAAAAATTTCAAATTGTGTGCAATTTTTTGAAAGTTGCTTAAGCAGTCTAAGCTTGTTTCCTTATCTATAAAAATGAACTAAAAAGAGTATCTCCTTAGCCGGGCACTGTGGTGCATGCCTGTAGTTACAGCTACTTAGAAGGCTGAGGCAGAAGGATCGCCTGAGCCCAGCAGGTCGAGTCTATGGTGGCTGTGAGTGTGCCACTGCATTCTGGCCTGGGTGACATAGTGAGACTTCGACTAAAAAAAAAAAGAAAGTATCTCCCAGGGTTTTTGTGAGCATAAGAAACAATGATGAGGGCAGGCACAGTGGCTCAAGTCTGTAATTCCAGCACTTTGGGAGGTGGAGGTGAGAGGATTGCCTGAGTCTGAGGGTTCAAGACCAGCCTGGGCAACATGACGAGACCTCATCTTTATGATAAATCAAAAAATTAGCTGGCCGTGGTGGTGTGTGCCTGTAGTTCCAGCTACTTGTTAGGTTGAGGCAGAAGGATCGCTTGAACCCAGCAGGTAGAGGCTGCAGTGGCCGTGAGTGTGCTACTGCACTCTAGCCTGGGAGACAGAGTGAGACTCTGACTAAAAACAAACAAGCAAACAAACAAAAAAACAATTATGTGCATTGTTTAGCATGGGCCTGGCTCAGGCAAGTGTTCAGTACACAATAGTGATTACTTCACTGCTATTATCAGTTGGGCATCAAGGGGAGCTGCAGTTCTGGCTTGGTCAGCAGCCTAGATGATGGTGTTCTGTTTGAAGATGAGGAATGCAGGTGGACAGAAGACCAGGTTGGCTGGGGAAAGAATGGTGATTTGAGTTGGCCACTGGGGGCTCTGCTTTTCCCCCTTGTCTTCCACTAAAGGCCCTCAAATCCTAGAACCTCATTTTCTTTTTCTTTTTTTGTCCAGACTGATCTTTTTGATTTGGTGTCTCACTACCTTGCCCAGGCTGGAGTACAGTGGCACACTCACAGCCACCCCAGTGTCAACCTGCTGGGCTCCAGTGATCCTTCCGTCTCAGCCTTCCAACTAGCCAGAACTACAGGCGTGTGCTACCAACGCCTGGCTAATTTTTCATATTTATGGTAGAGACAAGATCTCACCAAGTTGCCCAGGCTGGTCTCGAACCCCTGGGCTCAGGCAGTCCTCTTGTCTTTGCCTCTCAAAGTGCTGGGATTACAAGCTGAGCCACCAAGCCCAGCCAAACTCTGGGCTTTAAGGGATCTTCCTACCTCAGCCTCCCAAAGTGCTGGAATTACAGGCATGAGCCACTATTCCTGACCTAAATCCTGAGACCTTCTAATACAAAGAAACTTAACTTGAGGTTTACGAATGGATTTTAGGGAGCGTACAAACTCCTGAAATTATAGGTAAAATGCTATAGTGGTCTTTTTCATTTTTCCTGAGGATGGCCGAAGATCTTATCAGTCTCTCAGACAGATTTGTGACCCCAAAAAGGTGAAAACCACAGATCCAAGCTAGCACTCTACCATGACCTGTGGCTGCCCCAATACCTGATTCAGTGCCTCAGCCTTCCAAGTAGCTGGAACTACAGGCACGCACTACCATGTCTGGCTAATTTTTTGATTTATTGTAGAGATGAGGTCTTGCCAAGTTGCCCAGGCAGGTCTCGAACCCGCGGGCTCAGGCAATCCACTCACCTCAGCCTCCCAAAGCCCGAGAGTACAGGCTGAGCCACCGAGCCCTGCTAACAATACAAAATCTAAAAAACTTTACTTCGGCCTAGCTCAGTGGCTCAGCCTGTAATCCCAGCACTTTGGGAGGCCGAGGCAAGTATTTTGCCTGAGCCCGCGGGTTCGAGACCAGCCTGGGCAACTTGGTGAGACCTCATTTCTACAATAAATCAAATCAAAAATTAGCTGGGCATGGTAGCACGTGCCTATAGTTCCAGCTACTTGGAAGGCTGAGGCAGAAGGATCGCTGGAGCCTAGCGTTGAGGCTGTGGTGGCCGGGAGCAGCCACTGCACTCGTCTGGGCAACAGAGTGAGACTCCAAATCAAAACAAAAAACAAACAAAAAACTTTATTTCAAAAGAGCATCATGGTACATTTACTCTTCTGAGATTAAGCTTTTTTCACTCAATATTTTATTATTAAGATTCATCCATATTGTTAGATATCATTACAGTTCATTTGATAGTTGTGTAATATTCCATTGTGTGAATATTCCAGCTTCCTCCTCCACTCTCTTCCTTGTGGGCATTTGGTTGTTTCCAGGCTTTTGCTTTCATGAGCAAGACTGCTATGAATATTCTTGTACATGTCTCCTGGCATACACATTTTTCTAGCATTTATCCCCAGTATTGGTGTAATTGGGTTGTAGGGTAGTAGAATGTTCAATTATGGAGATAAACTGTTTTCCAAAGTAGTTCTCTGCTTTTCTTACCTGGGCCTGCCCGTCCCCAGTCACACTGTAACTCCAGGGACAGGAGACTCTCGCCTCTTGATTATCACTGCTAAACATTCAATTAGCATCAGGCTGGATATTCAGAGCCTAAGGGCAAAAACCTAGGCACCTGAGGGCTTTCAGCCTCAGCAAATACTCAGTACAAAGTAAACACCAAACAGGGACCACATGCCAGAATGGAGGCTGGTCAGGGTCCTATTCAGAACTCTTCAAGCTCCCTGGAGTTCCAGCTTCCTTAGCTTCACTTGATTTTGAGACTAGGTCTTCGAGGGCCCTCAATTACAATTCAAATCCCAAGAGAAGGCTTAACCTCAGCTAACGACCTTCTCAACTAACACCTCTAATACCCAAATAAGGATTAGCGAGAAAGGCTAAAAGGGGTGGCAGGAAGAGAAAGGACTAAGGAAAATAGGAGGAGCCAAGAAGCCTTCAGGTATTCGAAAATTACATACCCTTTTCTCCACAAGGACCAGTTTTTCAGGAAAATTTTTTAAAGAATCTGCAAGTGACCATGAGTAATTTTTAATATCACTGCCACTAACACTTACCTTCTTTGGCTAAAGTTACAAAAAACAACCTAACTATCACACAGTCAGTAAATGATGTGATGCTGCCCCCAAAACACATCATGTGCAGTGAAGCCCTGTGATGCTGAGGGAAGACCTCTGAGATTTGGGAGTAGCCATAGAACAGGCACCAGAGCTCATCCACAGACTATAAACAAGAACAAAAACTCTGGAACAAGCCGGGCTCGATGGCTCAGCCTGTAATCCCAGCACTTTGGGAGGCTGAGGTGAGTGGATTGCCTGAGCCCACAGGTTCGAGACCTACCTGGGCAACTTGGTGAGACCTCATCTCTACAATAAAATCAAAAATTAGCTGGGCGTGGTAGCGCGCGCCTGTAGTTCCAGTTACTTGGAAGGCTGAAGCGGAAGGATCACTGGCACCCAGCAGGTCGAGGCTGCGGTGGCCGGGAGCGGCCACTGCACTCCAGTCTGGGTGACAGAGTGAGACTCCAACTCAAAAAAAAAAAAAAAAAACTCTGGAACATAACAAGACTTCAGGAGATTCCTAGGTGTTCAGAAAGCAAAAAGAGGAGAGATGCCATTCCAAAGAGTGAGAAAACCCCACTGTCTCCCACAATCCCAACTGCTACATCTCCAAGAGCTCCCTAGCTACCTGTCATACAGGAGCTCAGGGAATACCCACTAGATGAATGTACAAAGGATAAGGCTCATAAGAGTATGACAGCCCTGTGGCAGAAGCAGCTTCCCCAGTCACATTTGGGTAGCAGTGCTGTTGAAATCAGGAAGAATGGCTGGAATTATTCCGCTCAGGAGAGGTTTCTCAATGTAAGTAAGCAGATTACTTTACATTGGCTTAACATTTTTAGTTCTTGCTTCCTAAATTAGATCATGGGCCATATGGAGAAACTAGGTAAGTTTGTTTGGGTCTGTTGGCTGCTAAAGTCTAATCAGGTGGAACTCACTTCAAGTGTGCAACCATCTGGTACAAATGCAACTAATGGCACTTGGATTGACATGAAGCCCCCAACTACAGCCCCAGCTCTATGGAGCTTCAACAATTTTATTGGTTAAAGGCTTCTTCCCAAGTTTACAGCTTAATGTGTGAGCGTGTTCACAGGCTCCTCCTTCTAAGGCCCTGAGGGGGGGCAGCAAACTTTAGTATAGGCTTGGAAATGGCGGGGGGGCTAATAAATAAGTTAGAAACCTGCTGATGCTCCACAATTGGATGGCAGGACAGAAAAATTCCTATTTCCTACTGCTGAAAACTGCAAGCAGAATGGAGGCAGGATCCAGAGTACATCTCTGCCACGGGTCTCAGTCTCCCATTTCCACTGCCTCCAACACAGTATACCTTTTGTGATGCTATGTCAGTCGATGCATTTTGCAGAAGTACATAGGCCCAAAATTGGCCAGGAGGTTTGGAATTACCAGCTCCCCAACCTGGCAGGATGGAAAGAAACAGAACATGTCCATGAAAAGTCTTCGGAAGTGAGTCAGGTCTTCCACTTGAATCTCGATGCTGTACTGATTGGCCAGGAGCTCAATGGCGCCTTGCACAACATACTCGTTCTGTAAGTGTGAGAGTGAGCAGGTGGAATAGACAACATGGCCTCCTGGTTTGGTGGCAAGGAGTCCAGCCCTGAAAGCAGAAAGTGACAGAAGCAGTGACTTAGCAAGCTTCTCAGTAGTGGAAGAGGAATATAAGGCACTGGAAACATGAACAGAGGAAGCCTACTTTGGGATGGGTAGCTGGTTAGACAGCCTCTGAAGTCCCTTCCACGACAAGCAGAGAGCAACCCAACCTTACACTAGGAGCTCTCTTCTAGGAAGCCTTCTTAAAATGGTCCCCTGAGCTCTGATTCTGGTTATGGACCAAATGGTTATGCTGGCTATAGATTGAGTCCTCACCCCAGCCCTACAGAATCTCTTAGTAGTTACTTTTCTTTCTTTCTTTCTTTCTTTTTTTTTGAATTGGAGTCTCACTGTCACCCAGCAGGCTGGAGTGCAGTGGCATACTCATGGCCACTGCAGCCTCGACTGGGCTCAAGTGATCCTTCCACCACAGCCTTCCAAGTAGCTGGAACTACAGGCACATGCCAACATGCCCAGCTAATGTTTGATTTATTGTAGAGATAAGGTCTTCTCAAGTTGCCCAGACTCGAACCCCTGGGCTCAGGCAATCCTCTCGCCTCAGCCTCCCAAAGTGCTGGGATTACAGGCATGAGCACCACACCCAGCCAGTAGCTACTTTTAAAACGTGTGCTACTCACTGGTGTGGAGGTAAAACAGCATTAGTTAATCTGTGCAGCCCTACTAGATATAATTTTTATGTTCCAGAGAAGATCTCATGATTTCTGTTTCCTCTAGGTAGATCCCCAGCCAGACGACTTCTCTACGAGTGATGGTCTCAGCAAGAGCTTCCAGTCCCACAGTCTGACCAGACTTCTAGAGCACTTTGGCACAAAGTTCTGAGTTTCTATAAGTCTATTACTCACGCAAGAAGCTGCACTTGCAGCATAGGCAACATCTGTCGCTCCTTCTTCCTTGACCGCCGAAAGATATTGTTTTCCTCCTCGTGAAGCGAATGGCGATCTGTGGTACAGGGAACATCCACCAACACCTGCCCAGAGTGTTAAAGGGTAAAGCATTAAAGCTCCTTATAGGCTCCTCTTCTTAGGTCAGTACTGCTTTAGCCCCATGGCCTGGGGGATTTGTGATGCACTCCCTCTGTGCATTCCTCCATTGCAGAGTACCTGACAAGGCTTCTCATTTTAATCTGGTAGACAATTGTGAAATAATGAGTGAGAAAATAGTATATTTAGCAATATTCATGGTTAATCAAAAGTACAAAACCAACACACAAATAACTATAACTAAATAGCTGACATAAACCTAAAAGAGGCCAGGCGCGGTGATTCACCCATGGGCTCAGACAATCCACTCGCCTTGGCCTCTCAAAGTGCTGGGATTACAAGCCGAGCCACGGAGCCTGGCCTTAATTTTTTTTTTTTTTTTTTTAATTTTTAGTCAGGATCTCTCTAATTTTTAGTCGCCCAGGCTGGAGTGCAGTGGCACGATCATGGCTCACTGCAGCCTTGATCTCTTGGGCTTAAGTGATTCTTTCACTTCAGCCTCCCAAGTAACTGGGACTACAGGCATGTGCCACCATGACTAGCTAAATTTTTCTTTTTTGTAGACATAAGTCTTCCTATGTTGCTCAGGCTAGTCTCGAACTCCAAGATTCAAGCAGTCCTCTTGCCTTGGCCTCCCAAAGTGTTAGGATTATATGTGTGAGCCACCATGCAGACAGGGCCAAAAATGTTTTAAAGTAAGAAATGTAAAGTCATTCATTCATTTACTGAGAGCCTACTCTGTGCTAGGTATTAGAGACAAACAGACAAAAATTTTAAAAATAGTCCTACATGTATGTTTCAAAAAAAAGTAAAATCATCTATTGAAAAGATCTGTGAATTTTTAGTTAAGTAGAAACTCCCAATAAATTATTAATGACCCAATATTCAATATTCTGATGTATTCCTAGTCTGCATGAATCAATACAGCACATACAGAGGAAGAAAAATAATGATCACCTTGTGTTCTAGTCAGAACTGTAATGAGGCTGGCCTTCACAGGAAAAAATGACATTAACTAAATGGGGATTCCCAGAATAGGGCCACTGTAATGTTCTGGAAACCACATCATAGAAGAAATTAATATCTTCTGTTTCTAGCAATGTGGCAAACTAGATATCCTGAAAACCAGCTATAATACAAAATACCTGGTAGGGCACGGTGGCTCACGCCTATAATCCCAGCACTTTGGGAGGCCGAGGTAAGAGGATTGCCTGAGCCATGGGTTCGAGACCAGCCTGGGCAACTTGGTGAGGCCCCATCTCTACAATAAATTAAAAAATTAGCGCGGCATGGTGGCACATGCCTGTAGTTCCAGCTACTTGGAAGGCTGAGGCAGAAGGATCGCTTGAGCCCAAGAGGTCGAGGCTGCGGTGGCCGTGAGCATGCCACTGAACTCCAGTCTGGGTGATAGAGTGAGATTCTCACTAAAAAAAAAAAAATAGAGCTGGGCTCGGTGGCTCAGCCTGTAATCCCGCGCCTTTGGGAGGCTGAGGTGAGTGGACTGCCTGAGCCTGCGGGTTCGAGACCCGCCTGGACAGGCAAGACCTCATCTCTACAATAAATCAAAAAATCAGCCGGGCGTGGTAGCGCGCGCCTGTAATTCCGGCTACTCAGAAGGCTGAGGCGGAAGGATCGCCGGAGTCCAGCAGGTCGAGGCTGCGGTGGCCAGGAGCTGCCACTGCACTCCAGTCTGGGCGACAGAGTGAGACTCCAACTCAAAAAACAAAATAATAAAAAAGAATGGAATATATATATTTGTTGTTTTTGTTGAGATAGGTCCTTGCTACATTGCTTAAACTGGTGTCAAACCTCTGGTCTCAAGCAATCCACCCACCTTAGCCTTCCAAAGTGCTAGGATTACAAGCATGGGCCACCATGATCAACCAGAGAAATCTATACATTTTAAAAATACGTTTAAATATAGAGCTCGGGGCCAGGTGCTGTGGGAGGAGGTGGAAGGATCGCCAGAGCCTAGCAGGTCATGTCTGCGGTGGCTGGGAGCATGCCACTACACTCTAGCCTGGGCGACAGAGTGAGACTCCAACTCAAAAATAAATAGATAAATAAACCAACCAACAAACAAACAAATAAAAATATAGAGCTTGTAAAAAATTAGAGAAATCCTCAGAAGCCAAAGAAAAGACAGAAGTACAAATCCAGGTAGCCATGCAGGAGCTGAAGCTGATGACTTTCATCTTTTACTAAACCCAAGTAACCAAAAGCCTAGAAGAGCAGAAAGGAGGGCATTGGGTCCACTTGAGGTAGGAAATTGGAATAGAAATCCATAGCAAAGCCAAATCCTAAAAGGGCTACAGAGATGATCTAAGAAAAAAATCCAGCCCACAATAGTAGGTGACAAAAGAATATGTCTATTTTTGCTTTAACTCTAGGCAAAAAAAAAAAAAGTCTCTTTGAAAATTTTGCACACACCTGTAGTCCCAGCTACTCAGGAGCCTGAGGCAGAAGGATCACTTGACCCCAGAAGTTCAAGGCTACAGTGAGCTATGATTGCAAACTGCACACCAGCCTGGGTGACAGAGCAAGACCTATCTCTAAAATTTTTTAAAAGGAGTATTTTAAAATCATGCAAGCCGGGCTCAGTGGCTCAGCCTGTAATCCCGCGCCTTTGGGAGGCTGAGGTGA